AAGGAATCAGATAAACATATGGAGCGGAGGTCCATCAGTGGCTATTAGCCACAAGGTCTAGATAGGAACTCTCGGTCTGGGGCAAGGGATGCTCTGTACTCTTGGTGCTTGGGGGGGGGGGCGCAACAGTGGGAGGGCTTCTGGTGTCCTGGCCCCACTGCTGGACCTCCTGAGGGCACCTGGTATTTTTGGCCACTGTGTGACAGAGCGTTGGACTAGATGGACCATTGGCCTGATCCAACATTGGCTTCTCTGTTATGTTCTTATGTATGTTCTTATACAGAGTAGAGGTCCATCAGTGGCTCTTAGCCACAAGGTATTAGATAGGAACTCTCAGTCTGGGGCAAGGGATGCTCTGTCTTCTTGAGCACGGCTCCTCCTCCACACATGTGTGGGCAATCAGACCCTCCCGCCCGACAGCTTTCCGTGGAAATCAACCCCCAACTCCTGCCAGACGGAGAAGCCTCATCTGCCCCCCAACTCCTGCCAGACGGAGAAGCCTCATCTGCCAAGAGGCCCCGACAGACGCTCTCGGCAGGCCGCATCTGCTCGGCAGGCCGCATCTCAGAGCCAGTTTGGTGTAGTGGTTAAGTGCACAGACTCTAATCTGGGAGAGCCGGGTTTGATTCCCCACTCCTCCACTTGCAGCTGCTGGATGACCTGGGGCAAGCCATAACTCTGTTCTTGAAAAAGAGCAGTTTCTGTCAAGAGCTCTCTCAGCCCAACCCGCCTCACAGGGTGTCTGTTGTGGGGAGGGGGAGGGGAAGGGAAAGGAGTTTGTAAACCGCTCTGAGACACCTTTGGGTAGTGAAGGGCAGGGTAGAAATCCAATCTCTTCTTCTTCTTCTTCTTCCACCCGCCCCACTCCCCACTTCGGGGAGACCAGACTCACATCTGTGTAGCGGAGCGCCGGATGGGCCCCCTGCACGGCGGTCACCGTCAGCGGCAGCCCCTCCAGGTTCCACAACTTGCGGCTCAGGTCATCGTAGGAGCGGACGACGTCCACCATGGCCTCCTCGCCGGTGCCCGCTGGCTGCGAACAAACCCAGGAGAGAAGAAAGTCGAGAGAAATTCGGCAGGAACCCCTCAATGTGGTCCTCCCACCTCCACAAAGTTATCGTAGGGAATGGAAATGGCACCGAAAAGGTCGGCTGGAGCAGAGAAACGGTTTCTGTTCCTTTTAAATTACGTATTTGTTCATCTATAACCCAACTTTTCCCCCAACAGGGACCCGGGGTGGCTTACTTAATCCTCCATTTTATCCTTACAACGATCCTGTGAGGGAGGTGAGGCGGAGAGCGTGCGTGACTGGCCCTAGGTCACCCAGCAAGCTTCCATGGCAGAGGCCACAGCCCCCGCACACGCAAACCGTAGGAGGAACACAAAAGCAGCACAAGTGTGAAGAGAGGAGACACCACCCAAAATTACAAAAAGGGTCATGCCAGTGTTCCCTCTAAGCTGAGTGAGTGTGAGCTAGCTCACTGTTTTTTAGCCTCCGGCGCACACATTTTTGTCTTCGCTCAGGAAGGAGGGCTCCAGAGCAAACTAAGTTATGCAGCAGCCAAATGGCTCGCTCACAACTTTAATGCCAGCAGCTCACAAAGCAGAATTTTTGCTCACAAGACCCCACTGCTTAGAGGGAGCCTTGGTCCATGCTGAACCAGACCAACGGTCCAGCAACAGCTTTCAGATTCCCTGAAAATCTCTATACAGGTCACAGAAGCCGAACCCTCTCTCTGATGCTGCCCTCCGGCAATGATATACAGAGGTACACTGCCCATGAACATGGAGGTTCCATGGAGGAACAGGCTTCCCGGGGAGGCAGTGGGCTCTCCTTCTCGGGAGGTTTTCAAACGGAGGCTAGATGGCCCTCCTGACAGCAATGCTGATTTTGTGAACGGAGGCAGATCATGAGAGGGAGGGCAGGGAGGGTCGCCTCAGTGCTTAGTTCTCGTGGTCTTTTCTTACACACCCAGAGATCGCCACTTTGGGATCAGGAACAGGTTGGCCCAGTTTTTCGGCTTCCTCTGGAAACAGAGCAGGGGTCACTGGTGCTGGGGGAGGTAGTTGGGAATATCCTCTGTTATGCAGGGGATTGGACTAGATGACTCTTGAGATCCCATTCAGTTCTACGTTTCTATGTACCCAATGGCAACTAACAACCGTCGATGCAGTTCTGGTCACCACACCTTAAAAAGGATATTATCGCTTTGGAAAAAGTGCAGAAAAGGGCAACTCGAATGATCAAAGGGTTGGAACACTCTCCCTATGAGGAAAAGTTAAAGCGCTTAGGGCTCTTTAGCTGGGAGAAACGACGGCCGAGGGGTGACATGATCGAGGTTTATAAGATTATGCATGGGAAAGAGCAGGTAGAGAAAGAGGTACTTTTCTCCCTTTCTCACAATACAAGAACTCGTGGGCACTCAATGAAATTGCTGAGCGGTCGGGTTAGAACGGATAAAAGGAAATACTTCTTCACCCAAAGAGTGATGAACACGTGGAATTCACTGCCACAGGAGGAGGTGGTGGCTACAAGCATGGACGGCTTCAAAAGGGAATTAGATAAGCATATGGAGCAGAGGTCCATCAGTGGCTATTAGCCACAAGGTATAGATAGGGACTCTGGGGCAAGGGATGCTCTGTATTCTTGGTGCTTGGGGAAGGGGTCAACAGTGGGAGGGCTTCTAATGTCCTGACCCCACTGGTGGACCTCCTGATGGCACCTGGTATTTCTGGCCACTGTGTGACACAGAGTGTTGGACTGGATGGGCCTTTGGCCTGATCCAACATTGGCGTCTCTTATGTTCTTATGATGGGCCTACCTTCTCTTAAAAGCCATTTAAAATAATAGCTAGCGGCAACACCTGTGGCAGTGAGTTCCACAAGTTGACCACTCTTTTTGCATGTAAGAAAGACCTGCTGGGGGAACCCTTGCCTGCCCCCCTAACCCTAGCTTGAGAGATGGGTGTTTTTCTTGGTGGAGAATATAGGAGATCTTATGCAAACCTTAAGCATCATTACAGAGATTACACAGTGGGGTGTTTTTTTTAACTCTTCGGCAACTCTGTATCAGGGCTTTGAACGGGGGACCTCCCAAACTGATGGTGTGGTTCTAGGGTTCTCTCCAGCAAGTTAGCAAGACTGGCATATTTGCAAAAAATTAATTGCGTGGGCTACTGAACAGGAAAAGGGGTAGGGGAAGGAGAGTGGACAGAAATGAGAAAATGCACCCAGGAAGGAGAAACGGCAGATGTTCCGTGTGCCAAACCACAACCCCTTCTTGGGCGAAGAGCAGATTTGGGTAGCTTCGTCGCCACTCCCTTTAAACAAAGAGCAGAGAGACTGCAAGCCGGTCCTAGAAATAACGCAAGCTCCTGGTGCCACCTCTAGGCCGATCCGGTCATTGCAAGCAGCCCCAAAAGGCCTTGAAGGAGAATTCAGTCTACAAACAGCTGAGATTCATTCAGAAGAGGCTTAGGCATTTCCTGCACGAATGCAAAGGGAGTGTTTTTGTTTAAGAACTGCCTTAGAACCAATGTTCCCTCTAAGCTGTGGAGGCTTGTGAGCAAAAATTCTACTGTGTGAGCTACTGGCATTAGAAGAAGAGGAGATTGGATTTATTCACTGCCCTTCACTTGGGAGTCTCAGAGCGGCTTACAGACTCCTTTCCCTTCCCCTCCCCACAACAGACACCCTGTGAGGTGGGTGGGGCTGAGAGAACTCTGACAAACTGCTCTTTTTCAAGGACAGCTGTGCCAGAGCTTGTGACTGACCCAAGGTCACACCAGCAGCTGCAAGTGGAGGAGTGGGGGAATCAAACCCGGTTCTCCCAGATTAGAGTCCGCACACTTAACCACTACACCAAACAAGTTATGAGCGAGCGATTTGGCTACTGCATAAATTAGTTTGCTCTGGAGCCCCTCCTTCCTGAGCTAAGAGAAGAAGGTGTGAGCCGGAGGCTAAAAAAACGGTGAGCCAGCTCACACTAACTCAGCTTAGAGGGAACACTGCTTAGAACTACTTGGATAATTCGAACAAGTGACAGGGACCGAAGAGTGAAAACTTTACAGGGTATCCAAGGGATTTAGAAGAACCACACAAGACAAAAGGCAAAGCGGAAACACCTAAGTTGAGTGATTGATCAGGAAATGGGACTCTCTGTCTTGGAGAAGAGATGCTTCCAAGGTGACCGGATTGCCCCCTACTGATACCTAAAGGGATGACATGCAAAGTTTCTGTTGTGCTGGATCACACGACTTGGGACTATAATGGATATAAACTACAGCAGAGGAGGTTTCATCTAAATTTGGGGAAGAGCTGCCTGATGGCGAGGCATGTTCAACACTGGAACAGTCTCCCTTGTGAGGGGGTTGGAGCACCTTCCTTACGAGGAAAGGCTGAAGAGTCTGCGATTTTTCGGTTTAGAAGAGAGATGACTAAAGGAAGGGACAGGATAGAGGTTTATCAAATTATGCCTGGGCTTGGAGAGAGCTGACAATAACAAATTTTTCTCCCTCTCCCAAAAGACTACACCTCGAGGGCATCCCATGAAGCTGATGGGCAGTAGGTTCGGGAGGGACAAAAGGAAATACCACTTTACACAGGGAGTGATTAAAATGTGGGATTCGCTGCCACGGAATGTAGCGATGGCCAAAGGAGTAGACCATTTTAAAAGGGGATTAGACAGATTCGTGGAGGATAAGTCTAGCAGTGGCTACCAGCGAGGGTGGCTGAAGGGAACCTCCACATTCAGAGGCACTAAGCCTCTGAGTCCCAGAGCCAGGAGGCAACACCATGGGAAGGCCTCAGCCTCTTTGTCCTGTTGTTCACCCTCCAGAGGAACTGGTTGGCCATTGCGTGAGACAGGATGCTGGACCACATGGACCAGTGGTCTGATCCAGCAGGGCTCTTCTGATGTTCTTATGAAGGCCTCGGCCTCTGTGCCCTGTTGTTCACCCTCGAGAGGAACTGGTTGGCCACTGTGTGAGAGAGGATGCTGAACTAGATGGACCACTGCTCTGATCCATCAGGGCTCTTCTGATGTTCTTATGAAGGCCTCAGCCTCTATGCCCTGTTGTTCACTGTAACGATTTCATGTTTATGTGTGTGTGTGTCTTTAAAAGTTTAGTTTGCAGGCTGTGATATTCTAGAGTGCTGGAAACAGGCAAGTGATATGATTGGTGAGTGACAGAGAGGGGGAAGGGTTTTGGAATGGATGCTGTGTGGATGATTAGAATGTCTATCAGGAGTGACTGTTGGAGAAATGACAGTTAAGGTTTAACAGTAAAAAAAACCAGTTAGTCAGAAGAGAGTGCTGTGTGAAAGTAGTTGATAGGTTTTTAAGTTCTGACTTCTGAGAGAGAAGCAGAAGTTCTGTGTTGAAACAGTTATAAGAAGAAGCTTCCCTGTGTGGGTTGTTAAGTTCTATGTCTTAGCGCTGAATAAGACAGTTGATAAGCAGTTCATTCTGAGGTCTGAAGGAGAGACCTTCTTGTGTTATGAAAAGTTGAAGTAAAAAGAGTCAAAGTTACAAAGAGTGTGATACAGTTGACCTAAGTACTTACAAATACCTATTTCCCAAACAGGGACAGTTTAAACAACTTCTTACTCGGTTCTTCAAATAAATCCTTTTTATTTAAGTTTATCCCAGAAGCCTGATCCCTTATTCCTCAGGAAACACATAGTCCTTCGAAAGCCCAGACCCTGGGTCACAATACCAAAACCCAGTGATAGAAATATATATTATAGTAAGAGGTTGGAAAGCCTTATAATTCCTGGTGGCAGCCGTATACCCAAAGAAAAATAAACTAAGAAGGAAGGAAGGAAGGAAGGAAGGAAGGAAGGAAGGAAGGAAGGAAGGAAGGAAGGAAGGAAGAAAGAAAGAAAGAAAGAAAGAAAGAAAGAAAGAAAGAAAGAAAGAAAGAAAGAAAGAAAGAAAGAAAGAACTCGTGGGCACTCAATGAAATTAAGGAGCAGTATTCTTAGAACAGATCAAAAAGAAGTACTTTTGTACTGTATAAAGTACAGAGTGTTGGACTAGATGGCCCAGTAGCCTGATCCAACATGACATCTCTTATGTTCTTAAGTAGAAAGCAGCTTCATGAATTTACTGGAGGCACCCAGTAGGAACCTTCAAGATCAAGGGAGCAAATCTGGAGAGCTTCTGAAATTCATGCGATGTATAGGAATATCATTTTTCCTCCTCCCAAACTAGCGATACTTAAACACAACATCTCACATTTTTATTCCACCCATCCCCCAAGGAAATCAGAGTAGGTGTACATGGTTTTCTCCTTCAGTTTTGGAGGTTAGGCTGAAGAACAGAAGAGAAGCCAATGTTGGATCAGGCCAATGGCCCATCCAGTCCAACACTGAGTCACACAGTGGCCAGAAATACCAGGTGCCATCTGGAGGTCCAGCAGTGGGGCCAGGACACTAGAAGCCCCTCCCACTGTTGACCCCCCCCCCCCAAGCACCAATGTTGGATCAGGCCAAAGGCCCATCCAGTCCAACACTCTGTATCCCACAGTGGCCAGAAATACCAGTGCCATCAGGAGGTCCACCAGTGGGGCCAGGACATTAGAAGCCATCCCACTGTTGACCCCCCCATGCACCAAGATGACAGAGCATCACTTGCCCCAGAGTCCCTATCTATACCTTGTGGCTAATAGCCACTGATGGACCTCTGCTCCATATGCTTATCTAATTCCCTTTTGAAGCCATCTATGCTTGTAGCTGCCACCACCTCCTGTGGCAGTGAATCCTATGTGTTAATCACTCTTTGGGTGAAGAAGGACTTCCTCTTATCCGTTCTAACCCGACCGCTCAGCAATTTCATGGAGTGCCCACAAGGAGTTCTTGTATTGTGAGAAAGGGAAAAAAGTACCTCTTGTATTGTGAGAAAGGGAGAAAAGTAGTTCTTTCTCTACCTCCTCTATCCCATGCATAATCTCAGGAAGGATTGGTCCACGATCACCCAAGCAAGGCTCAGCTGGATTTTAACTGGGCCTTGTCCTGATCCAACATTCTGAGAATTGCACCACACTGGCTCTCCGGGCACCGATCAAAACATGAATTCTTCTGCACACACAACCGAAATCCAAAGGAATTGGGGGGGGGGGGAAAAAAGATCTCACCTCACGTCCCAATCTGATCAAAGACTCCAGCAGAGCGCCTGTATAGCAGATGGCAGATCCTGGAATGTCCGTGTGTCTGCAACCAAAGCAAGAGGGGCTATTAAAACAGGGATTAAAACAGCGGAACCTTAGAGACCAACAAGATTTTTGGGCTTTCAAAAGTCAAGACTCCTTTCTTCACATTCAACAAGTGGCAGCTCCTTTACCCCAGTCACAGAGAGCAATTAAAATGTGGAATTCACTGCCAGAGGATGCAGTGATGGCCACGGGAATAAATGGCTTTAAAAGGGGATTGGATAGATTCATGGAGAATAAGTCTATCAAGGACTACTAGCCTTGGCGGCTGAGGGGAACCTCCGTATTCAGAGGCACTAAACCTCTGGATCCCAGAGCCAGGAGGGGAACGCCGTGGCCTCTATGCCCTGTTGTTGGATCTCCAGAAGAACTGGATGGCCACTGTGTGAGACGGGAGGCTGGACTAGATGGACCCTCACTGGTCTGATCCAGCAGAGCTCTTCTGAGGTTCTTCTCAGGGGAAGGCTTCGGCCTCTCTGCCCTGTTGTTGGCCCTCGAGAGGAACTGGCTGGCCCCTGTGTGAGACGGGAGGCTGGACTAGATGGACCCTCACTGGTCTGATCCAGCAGAGCTCTTCTGAGGTTCTTCTCAGGGGAAGGCTTCGGCCTCTCTGCCCTGTTGTTGGCCCTCGAGAGGAACTGGCTGGCCCCTGTGTGAGACGGGAGGCTGGACTAGATGGACCCTCACTGGTCTGATCCAGCAGAGCTCTTCTGAGGTTCTTCTCAGGGGAAGGCTTCGGCCTCTCTGCCCTGTTGTTGGCCCTCGAGAGGAACTGGCTGGCCCCTGTGTGAGACGGGAGGCTGGACTAGATGGACCCTCACTGGTCTGATCCAGCAGAGCTCTTCTGAGGTTCTTCTCAGGGGAAGGCTTCGGCCTCTCTGCCCTGTTGTTGGCCCTCGAGAGGAACTGGCTGGCCCCTGTGTGAGACGGGAGGCTGGACTAGATGGACCCTCACTGGTCTGATCCAGCAGAGCTCTTCTGAGGTTCTTCTCAGGGGAAGGCTTCGGCCTCTCTGCCCTGTTGTTGGCCCTCGAGAGGAACTGGCTGGCCCCTGTGTGAGACGGGAGGCTGGACTAGATGGACCCTCACTGGTCTGATCCAGCAGAGCTCTTCTGAGGTTCTTCTCAGGGGAAGGCTTCGGCCTCTCTGCCCTGTTGTTGGCCCTCGAGAGGAACTGGCTGGCCCCTGTGTGAGACGGGAGGCTGGACTAGATGGACCCTCACTGGTCTGATCCAGCAGAGCTCTTCTGAGGTTCTTCTCAGGGGAAGGCTTCGGCCTCTCTGCCCTGTTGTTGGCCTTGCATTACTGCCCCCCCCAGCCCCCATGCCAAGTCCCCTTGCCCGCTCTCCCACGACAGAGTTACTCACAACTGCAAGAGGTGCCGGATGATCTGCTCTGGAATGAGGCGCTTCTGGCTCTGGGTCGTTGCGTCCCACAGAACGGCCTCGCAGATGGAGCCATCTTGGAAACGCCTCAGCTCCGAGCGCTCCCCCCAGAACTTCCGGAACTCGACCGCCTGCAGGAATAGAGGAGGAGAAGGTAGAACACTGGCTGCCTGTGAAGTAGAAAGGCAGCTTAAAATGAAAATCCGTGATGGCCCCAGGAGAGCCTTGCGCTCCTTAGACAGCAATCTGTTGGTGATCCCCAGCCCTAAAGACATCCGGCTGTCCTCAAACTTTTCAGTCCTGGCCCCGACCTGGTGAAACTCTCCGCCAAATTCCATCGGGGCCCTGCGGGATCTGATGCAATTCCGCAGGGCCTGCGAGGCAGAGACGTTCCGCCGGGCTTTTGGTTGAGGACAGAGACGGTTCCCATCTCGGCTGGCACCCTTTTCCTGTACTCCATTGTTTACACCTATTTTACATATTTATTTATTTCCTTCGACTTGTATCCCGCCCTCCCCGCACGGCAGGCTCAGGGCGGGTTGCATCAGACTTAATAAAAATACAATATATAAAATACAAAGGAATTGGTAAACATACAATTAAAACACTAATAAATTACAACTCTATCCTCCAGCGGGTGCAGTTGTCATTAGAATCAAGTCTCACAGAGGCCATCTCCGGTAAGCCGTTCTGACCCACTGAGGGGAGGCCCAGAAAAGAGGGACGGACGTCCGTCGCCCTAATTAAAAGCCCGGCGGAAGAGCTCCGTCTTGCAGAAAGGTCCGAACTGTAAAAGGTCCC